TCTTAATGTTGTAAACAATGTTGATATACATTGTATTATTATTCGGATAAAGTACTTGGAAGAATGTGAACAGAGAATACAATTGCATAATGAATATTTCCTTATAAACAATCCTTTTGATCTTTAATTCATCTGATCTGACAACTATCCCTGTATATATGATGCCACGTTAAACGCATATCCACGCATATTTGCATAAAGTCGCACAACCCCTTGCATAATCCCTGAATGTATTACATGAGAATGTCGTAATCTTCCGTATAAGGTGTTTCAATTGGAGAAAGACAAATCTTGGAAACAAAAGCTTTGGCACAAGGACGACATGGGTACGATAAGATCAGATTGAATGTCGGAGATCGATTTTAGTCTTATTTGTATTATTAGCACACAAATGTGTCTTAAAGAGTTATTGCGATCTAGGTCCACAATCTGATTCACATCAAAAAAAAAAGCAATGCATTTAAATCACAGCTTTACGTTCTACTTTTCACCTGTCAATCTAGCTGTCGTTACGTGTACCTCGATCCGCCATATTTTGTAGATTTGGCCTCCGTGGGGTGATCAGTCAGTAGCGAAATGGCGTTGGTTTCTGATGCTAGAGTAGCAGTACGGTGGTGTGAGGCCAGTGGGCTTGTGGACAGAATCTAAGGCGCACCGTTCCGACGTTTGATGTCAACCAAACTTATTTTTTTATCAGGAAATCTATGACGTTTTAGATCACGTGAGATAAGGCAGGAACGGTAATCTTCACTCAAAATCGTACGCATTCAAAGTACATTATCTCCAAAATGGTGGAATGATTGGAAAAATCGAGATAAACTTGGAATTCATGAAAAAAAAAGTTAATCATTACAGATACATCAGCTGGGAACAACATTACATTTTTAAAGAGTAAATTAGATATATCAAATACAACGACACTGTACATCATTGGGCCGTTTTCGATTAAAACACTGGCAGGTCCGCCAGGATTAATCCTCGAAAATGTTACATTTAAAAACGGACTTACCGGTGGTTCCGCATAAATGAACAGGCCTCATGTCATATTTAAACCATACAGTACATATCTTATATGTCGAAGTTGGCACTACATGTTGCATGTATGTAAAGTATTACATGTACATTTGTAAATAATGAGGACGTATAATTCTAAAAAGAAAAAAATATGATCAAAAAAATAAAATTCGAATTATCAAAATTGCAATGTACAGTATGTACCATATTGAAATTAAACAGTACAGAACATTACTTGTCATAGTTCATAGTAAATACTGCACACTAATGAGTACACTATACTTAGTCCATCATATAACCATAACATTGCTTATCACTAGATCTTAAAATTTCACTGAACATTTGATGTTATACTAAAAATACAACTGTACCTTATGTATTAACACTGAAATGAATACATGTACCCTTGACCCACTTTCAAGGTCACAAGGGTCAAGTGTATAAAAAAGATTTGAGCAATCCCTTCTCAATTACCAAAAGGACCAGGGTGCTGGCATTCATCTAGTACTGTAGTATGTTGGGATGCATTGCTGTAAACATTATTCGATTAATGACCTTGACCAACTAACAAGTGAACAGGGGTCAAATTATTCTAAGTTTTTAATAACCAAAGGCCTAAGATGATGATATTGGGCAGTAGCATGCTGGGATGAAGGAATTTCATGTTTGACCAGACTCAGTTTCAATTTCAAATATGTCAAAATTGTTAAACTCATTAAAACAACTTCTACTTTACAAAAAACCCAGAGTGTTGAAATTTTGCAAGAAGTTGTGGGAATAAAAGACTTCCAAATTTTGTCAAATTAATGACTGACCTACATTTAAGGTCATAGGGGTCAAATGCTTTGAAATCTTAATTACCAAGAGACCCATGGTGACGATATTTGGCAAACATTATGAAGGGCTGCCAACCTCTTTCAAATGAATAACCTTGACCCATTCTCAAGGTCACGGAGGACAAATATGTTAAAACAATTACATGATCTCAATAAAAAAATACACAGGTGATGATACAATATATTTGATCTGTAGTATGCCGGGAAGGTCTTATATTTTGTTCGAATGGACGACCTTGACCCACTTCTAAGGTCACAGGGGTCGCATGTCTTTAATTCATTGAAACAATATCTACAAAATATACAAAAGGTCCAGGTAGATGATATTTGGCCAGTAGTATGCTAGAATGAAGGGCTTCAAAGTTATTAAAAGGAATAGTTTTGACTGATTTTCAAGATCACACAGTTCAAATATGTTGAATGCTAAACAACTTGTCAAGGCCAAGGTTATGATATTTAGCCGGTAGTATGATGGGGGGAAAGGGCTTCTAATTTTGATTAAATGGATGACCTTGGTCGATTTTCAAGGCCATATGGGACCAATATGGGTAAAGCGTGATAAACTGTTGCAATATGTTTTTCTGACTAACTAAAAGGCACAGGTTAATATACCTGGCCTGTACCTTAAGTTAGTCCATTCGTACATTCTCCATTGGTACACTTTCAAGATTACTGGTGTCAGCTGAGTGATAAAGGTCTATTGGAACTCTTGTTAGTATTCTATATTGCACTCGCTTTGATTGTTTTGCAAACCGTTTCGGACGTAGACAGTTTATTTTCCGAGAAAAGTTTTTGAAATTTATAAATTACAACCAATTTAAGTTCATTTGACTGTTTGTCGTTTAACTTTTAAAAGTAAGTACAAGTAACGAAACGGTAGCACAATGGTTATTCAGAACTAAGAGGCCATAGTGTACTGATTTGTTACACTTAATAGACGATGGTCCTGTGTATCTATCTAACTATGTAAGAGTTGGGAGATACACGATTCTATCCAGGTATATAGCCGTGTATGTTGGGTAGCAGCTGCGGGTAGCGCTCCATCATTATGACAGCTAGGCCCGGGGGTATGGACTTGTGACGTCCTCACCTCTCGGGTGACCCCTAGTCTACCTACTTTTACTCTGGTATTATATAAAGAATAAACGCCCCTGGGTGAGCAGAATGTACGACGGAGTTCGGGGATAGGTAAAGTATTTAAGTAGAATGTATAGCGATTCAAATTATTTTCCATAACACATCAAAACAGATATATTGCGGGTTTCTAAGTTTAAAGCTCTATTGGAAAGAAGAACCGAATGTTATAAATGTCACAAGTAATATGAAAAATGGCTCTCTCCTGATATCAGGTATTATATGAGATAATCTCATTGCATATCAATATGTTTCATATTACCAAACAAAAAAAGCCTTTTTCTTTTTTCTTTATATGAAACACTGCCAACAAGTATCCGAACCCGTCTTTAACGTCACATCTGCCATCAACTATTATTATTGTGAATTTGACTCAGTTACTAAAAGAGCTTGGCTTCTTGGTAAATACTCTTTAAAGTCGCGCTTTTTGGACAAACAAATTTTGGCGTTTTAAAAGAGCTTGGCAATACATCAAGAAAACTGTTCAAGGAATGATTAAGAAAACGGGGTCATTACACAACAGGGGCGATAAGGGAAGTAGACAATGAAACGAAAAAACATTCATCACACTTTAATGGGTGATAGGTATTGTTGTGTACATCCTCGATATCTAGGGGTTACGCGCACTTTCGCTCTCTACACCCCTGGCATATGTCAAAGAAAAAATAAAGGCACGCGGCTAGCTATTTTATTGGTGTTAGGTAAAAAAAACCCTGACCAATCACTAGGCTGATACTTGTCCTTTGAAGATTACTAAGGAGCGACGCCCTTCTTCAAAGCCTGTCATTTTTTACCGTTACGCGACCGCGAGATTATTGGTTGCTGCACATTGAGCCTTCAATTTTGCTATGATATATTACAGGGGTGTAGAGAGCGAAAGTGAGCGTAACCCCTGGATATCGAGGATGTGTTGTGTGTGGGGTTGGTTAAACGTGCATGTACGTGGATACCCTAGGGATTTAGTCTAGTCGCCTGTACAGCATGTAGATAACTCTATGCATCTAAAAAAAATGCGTGCTATTACCCGTACATGCACGTGAGAAGGAATAATGATAGAGACACGACACAGACGGACTTCCTGATGACGGGTAGGGCGGGCCAAATTGACCGGGAGATAGTTTGGCTGTTTAGAGAAAGAAACGTAAAATCCAAAACGAATTATTCAACGTGTGAGATGAAACACGATAGTGTAGGATTATCTTAATGTCCGACCAAAATAATATTGTACAGGTCCGGATAGAGGGACCGACAGAGGGAAATGGTACATGGATGATTATAAGAATAAAAAACAGGTAAACAAACAAACCTGCCTCAAAGGAAATCGAGCATCTGTGACATGTCTGACTGAAACTGACTGGATCTTTACAACATACATGAGAGAAAAACTCAGGGAAACGTACTGGTATGTATAAAGTGACCGGAGTTAAACAGTGTTCAGTTTACAGGTGTGTCACTGTAGTATATCACACGTGGGAACTCGTGCGCTCTTGTACAGTTAGTGAAAGCTTGCACGTGACAAAGTAATCTACAAGTGTTAGGGTAGATCACCTATTACTCTCAACTGTTACTGTACATAGTATGCCAACATCAGTGGGGAATCGACAGGGAGTGTATGATATGGTCTTCAGTCAGGACCCCCCCC